CTGAAATCTCTAGCATTTCGCATCTCTAGAATTCTCTATCCTTATATCTGTATACACCACTTGTATTCAGAAAAATAAATTAGATAGCTTTGAAGATAGGAAAGCTTGTAATAAGGTAATCACTTATGGAGTTTTAAACTTCATAAAGTGAGTACCAATTGTATGTAAATATAGTTAGCAAGCATGTACTATTTCAGTCTATGAATATTAGGATGAAGTTTGTTATGTTTAACAAAGTTTTCATAAAATGACTTCGTTAAGTTTCTCACGATTCCTCGGTAGTACAGATAGAGATTTTAAAAGATTTTCAAAACGTTGTTTTGAATGGACGTTAGATATGCCAAAATACCCGTCTTTGAATGTTTTAGGGAAAAATTGCAGTTTTCGGACAAAAATTGTAGTACCTTGTTTGTAAGTTATCTTTTAAAATTTCGTTCTAAGTAAGAACTCGTTTTGAAAAGAGTTTGAATAGAGGTGAAAGCAGAGACTCTGAATTCTATGAGATAGCGTCTGTGGTAATACGGTTAGTTCTCTAGAGTGAGAAATGCAANTGAAAAGCCTTTTGCGGAAACAGTTGTGGACCCAAATGATTTCAAAACATTTTGAATATTCATCTGATTCAGGAGATTGATTAAGTACATGCAAAGCTACCATGTTGGAGGGAAAGTCTAGTTATTTCCATTGATTACTATAAATTATTTACATGCTTTTATACGCTTATGTTTTAATTACTATTGATCTTTATGAACACTTCACAAGCATCCATATCTAATGATTATTGTTTTAAGTTATATCTAGATGAAAAAGATATTTCGTTTTCACTAAGTGTAGTTGAAAAATCTAAAGATATAATTCCTGTTGGCCAAGAAAAACTTAAAGAAATATATTCTGATATACTTTATGCTTGTAAACATAATATAAGAATTGATTCTGTAAAAACTAGTAAAGAAATATAGAAGGTTGAAGATGTTATAGCTAAATACGAAAATATAGAAAGCGAAATTTCAGAATGAATTGTTTTTGGATATATGACTGAAGAAAATCAACTTAGAGCTTTTGAAAAATTAACAAAATATAGAGAATATTTGGAACAGATAGAAAAGTTAAAGGAACATAGTATAAATTATGATTAATGACTTAAGAGGAAAGAGAAAATATTGAAAGATTTGAAAAAATTCAAGATAATATCAGTGAATTAAGATCTAGAGAAATTAGAAAACTCGTTGAAGAATTTAGAAGAGATAATACAGAAATGAGAAATAAAATCCTAAAAACTATAAGATATCACCAATACGAGCAACAACAATACTTGATTTGGTTACAAGAAAATACTGAACTCAGATTCTCGGGGTTAGTTCTAAGAACATACGATCTAAACAGGAGAATTATAAGATATAACACTGAGCAATATAATAATTAAAAGATACATGGCATATTTTGCAAATAAAGAAAGTAAGGGTAAAATAGTACTTTAATAGAAGCCAATTTTATATTATTAAAAGTCTATGTGAGTATCTGGCAAGCTTCTGGCAATATCCGTCTGGCAGTGCAGCATGACTCATATTATTTTATTAAAAAATGTGTGATTAAAAATGAGGTTTAAAAATAAATTCCGAGAAGAACATGTATTAAACATGGTCAAAGGTTTGACAAAAAAGAACAATAATAAATAAGAAAGGAGGAGGAAAGAAATGGATAGTCTTTTTTCCCAGAGTAGCACAAATTACAATTGAGTAACGTTCGATGTACACTGTTGTATATACATTTTGTTGTACATCTTCCCTTCCCCTCTATGTAGCATAAAATATGGTCAAATCTACTAGGAATGGGCCTTAAAACAGCTAGTGAAATTTTATTAGTACGATATTAAGTATGATCCATTTCAAATCTAAGAAATAAATGTTTAATTTCTCAAAAATCGGATATGAACTTAAATTTTATTTATTAAATAATTAATTAAAAAATCTTTTATTAATTAAATATATTAGAGTCACAATATTATATAATTTATAGTCATAATTATTTATTAGTCACAATTACAGACGTCATAGCCACAAAAATCAAATTTTATATATCACAATTTCTTTTTCAGTCACAAATAAAAATTTTTATGAATCATAAATTATTTCAAAGTTACAAAATTTTCAAATTAATAGTCACATATTATTTATTGGTCACAAATCATAAATTTTATAAATCACAATTTATTTCATGGTCACAAAACATCAAATTAATTTATCACAAATTATATTTAGGTTACAATTTATCAAATTATTGGTCACAAATTAATAAATTTTTAGGTCACAATTTATCATTTCATTAGTCACATGTTGTTTATTGGTCACAATCAACCAAATCATTTGTGACAACCACCACACCACTGCAACAGCCAAAACCACCATCGTCGAACCACCAACACCACCTCTCGACAACAAAATCATTGTCTCGAATACCGTAGATACCATCACCACCAACACCACTACTCACCCACAACCATTGCACGACCATCACCACCACCACCATTGCACCAAATACAACATTACCACTACCACTACCACCACCACCACCACCAAAACATCATTAAAACCACAAGACCACCACCACCTATCCACCAACCAAAAAAAAGGAAAAAGAGACATATATATATATATATATATATATATCATTACCACCGCGATCTACACTACTACAACTATCATCTGGGTCGCTAGAGATCCACCACCACCACCTCACCACAGATCCACCAACACCACCACCGCACCACCTACAGCACAACCAACACCATATCATCTATCTCCATTTACATCACATCCAACCACCACCCCACCAAAAAATCCACAAACTCGTCGCCGCCACCACCACCACCACAGTACGCCATAATCGCCTACACAGGTTCCACTTCGAGCCGTACGAAGGGTGGTGATAGTTTTGCACACGATCGTGTGCAGCGATGCTGCTGTCGCAGCGAGGCGTCGTTGCACCGATCATGTATAGCTGTCGTGTAGCGATTGTCGAAGCAACATTTCTTTTACTTGTTGACGTCGGAGCAGTCGGAGGGGGGGGGGGCGGGGGGGAGATGTGGGTCAATGATTTGTGATTTTGGAATTTTTAGAGTTATGGTAGCTATGATTTAGAGAGAAAAGATAGAGGAAAGAGTGAGGATAATGAATATTATTAATATTAAAGATTTGAATTAATATATGATTTTCTTTAAATAAATTTCAGATCTGATTTCTGAAACTGAATCTTTAAAATTTTGGTTGGGTGTAATTTCCACACCACATAACCCAAAGAAGTTTGCTTCGGGTCGGTTTAGTTATACAATTTTGGGTTAGGTCAATTTTAAAAAAATTAAAACTTATATAGATCGGGTCGGTTTACGTGGTCAAATCCGTCCAAATCGACCCAACTCAAAATACAAAGGAAAACCTTATTCTCATTTCATTTGAACTCAGGCGTGAAGACTGGAGAGTGAAAACTGCTCTTCTTCCACATCTACAAAATTCGAGCACCCATTCTGTCCGACACAATTTGCGATCACCGGTTTGAAAGATATCCTCAAGTCTTGGTCATTCTCAAAATAAATGAGACTTGTTTTTGGTGCACAAAACAAACCCAATAATTTTTTCCTCCTAATCTATGTCCCTACCAACACGAATCATGTTGTCTTTGGTGATGAGAGCTGAATCCTATTAAGAAGTTCTTAGATGTTCTTTTTTTCTTTGGTTTTTGTTATTTTTTTGCCTTTGAATTTGGGAAAAATAGGTTTCATGTTGGGATTCTTGTCTAAAGAAGTGGTGTTGCTTTCATGATTGTGTTGATCTACTTCAGTGAAGGGATGAAGAATAAAAACATTAAATGGTGGGGTGGTGATGATCCTGAGCATTCGCAAGGTTGTTTTTGAATCTAAGTTAAGTTTTTTAATTTAATATTATGCTATCATGTTCTTTGTTCTTGTGGACACTTGATAATTTTATTGTTGAAATTGAAGAAAAAAATGAAAAACAAGTGACCCTAACCGAACGTGTCAGTTCGGGTTGATTTTAGATTATGAGTCGATTTTAAAGTCTCCAAAACCGAGCAAATCGATTCGAGTCGGGTTCAGGCCTAAACGACCCTACCCAACTCGTTAACTAGCCCTAGAATCTACTAATTAACAATGTACTTCATATTTAACCTTTGCATGATGGTCTTTATTTATTTTTTAAATGTTTGGCCTTACCACTTGTGTACTATGAGTGTCTTAATAAAAATTTTCTTGTCCACACGAGTTTGAAGAAATTATATTTTTAAAAAACCTTAAAATTCTTTTATTGAAAGTTTCAAAAAATTACTAAAGTTATAGGTGGGTTGTGCTTAATGTAACTTGTTGCATCGTTCAAATATAATTTAAAAGGTAAAAGCAATTTTTTAAAACTTAAAACCTGGTTCGGTGTGAATGTCAAGTTTCAAACTTCATGAGTCTAGGTATAAAAATTTTTTTTTTTAATTTTTAATTATTCTAAAAATTTAAAATTTATTTAATAATTAAAATAATACATACCAAAAATCTAAAATTATAAAATACTACGTTTACTTAATAATTCCTACAATTAGTCAATTATACAATTTCAAGTTTTCAAAATGAAAAGTTAGACTATTTTTCATTATTTTAACTTCCACCTAGATAAATCATGCTTAATAAATTTATAAGAATTTCATACATATTTTTGGAATTTTCAACAAAACTATAAATCACAAAATCATAATTTACATAATGTAGATAATATCGTAGCTTAAATCGTATCCAACTCTTGATCGAATTCCAGTTCAATACCATTTTCTTCATCTAATTCATCTGTGTTGTGTGATTCAAATCATCCTTCTCGACTCTAGTACCTCTTGTAGGTTGTAAGATATCATTTTCCATTCCATCATTTTCCTCCTCATCATCACAACACTTTACAATTCAAGATGTGTGGATTAGTAGCATCACTTGCTAATAGAGTCTCTGTTTCTCCGTTCTTCTTCTTGTTGTTCATCAACATTGCATTAAATTGGACATAAGAATATTCATCCTTGTAGTGTCAAGTCTATTCATTTTCTTGTTGTGTATCTACAAAAAAGGGATACATTTAATGGATCGAAGCGTAGTCAAGTAATTTTTCATTGGCCAAAAGAAATGAGTTGTGGAAATGATGTCATAGTTAATACCTACCCCTTCAAAGAAACCCATCATAACCTGATAGTAGTCAAACTAATGATCATTTTGGTCATTATTTCAAATTTGGTGTTTCGTTGCCATAGAAATCCTACTAACTCGATTATGTTAACATACCCGAATTGTAATAAGCATTATTGTTCTCACATCCACTTATTGTTAGCCTTCTTCCAATTGAACCATCTTTTTGAACATATGTTTGCAACTCAGTATTTATCATGTGATGTTGTATTTGATCTGTTAGAATTTGGGTGTGACTCGAATTTCTTGTTGAAATAATTAAAAAATTCTAATTGAAGTGCACATCAAGAAAAATTCAATTTGGAATGCTATTGGAGTCCTATGTCAAGTTGAAATTTTATTTTGAAGCCTATTGGGCATTGTAATTTGTTTTGGACTCGATTTTTTGGTATCTTACTTCATCAACAACTCTACTAGGAGGGTTTGAATATTCCCTACATGTTCTCTATAAATACTAGGCTATTCTGTACAATTTTATGGTGTGAGAAAATAAATTACTAGAATTATAAGATTTATTGTAATTTTTATCCCTTGTCTATTATTCTTGAGTCAATTAAATCTCTTAATTCCTCTATTATTTTTGTCTTTGTTATTTTTTTGCTTGATCATATGTTTCATTATTATTTGTCATATAACTTCAACATTTCAATCCGGTTATTTGTTTCATAACAATTGGTATTAGAGCACTACGTTTAGCAGTTCCGCAAGAACGCAATGTTTGATTTGTTTGAGATTTTTATTTGTGATGACTTACATGAAGTATGACATTCCGCTTTTGGAATGGACCACTAGATTTTCACTATGGCAAGGTAAGATGCGTGCAATACTCGCGTAGCTGGATTTTGGATGATACGTTGCTGGGAATTAACAGGATGCCAGTAACTTTGACCGCGGAAGAAAAATTACGGAAGGATAAGAAGGCATTTTCTCACATTCATCTTCATCTATCAAATATTATTCTTCAGGACGTTTTGAAGGAGAATTCAGCAGCTGCTTTATGGTTGAGGTTGGAGTAATTGTGCATAACTAAAAGTCTGACAAGCAAGTTAAACCTTAAGCAGCGTTTATACTCTCATCGAATGGCAGAAGAGGAACATTGGAAGATCACCTGGCTGTATTTAAAGAGATCGTCGCTGATTTTAAAAACTTTGGAAATAGAGTATGATGAAGAAGATTTTTCCTTGATCCTATTGTGTTCGTTGCCCGCTTCCTTTTCTTCATTTAGAGACAGATCTTATATAGTCGTGATACTCTCACCATAGAGGAGGTGTATAGTGCTTTGTATTCAAAAGAGAAGATGAAGCATCTAGTTTTTGAGGCTAGGGATGGAGAAGGGCGATTGCTCATGGTGGTTCTGGAAGGGGCAGATCGAAGTCTAAGTCCAGTTATCAAATTTGTAACTACAGCAAGAAAAAGGGGCACTTAAAGTAGGATTGTTATAAATTGCAGAATAAAGAAATAATAGCTGCAAGTAGATATTCAGATACTTCAGGCGAAGTAGACATCGCGGAGAACATTGTAAGTGATGGAGCTCTCTTAGCTATTTCTGATATTGAGTCTAAATTGGAAGATGATTGGATTCTTGATTCAGCATGTCTGTTTCATATGTGTCCTAATAAGCACTTGTTTGCCACATATGAAACCGTTTTCAAAGGTGTCGTGGTTATGAGAAACAATACATCTTGTCAGGTTGTTGGAATTGGTACAGTTAGATTGAAACTTTTGGATGGAACAATTAGAACACTTGGTTAGGTTTGACGTGTTCCAAATTCGAAGAAAAATCTCATCTCGTTGTCTATCCTTGATTCAAAAGGTTGTGAGTTTTTTGGTGGAGGTGGAGTTTTGAAAGTTTGTAAGGGTGCCCAAGTTGTATTGGAGGGATAGAAAATGTCGTAGTTATACATCTTCCAGGATCGCGAATTTAGAAGAGTCAATCAGACAAGTTCAGGACCGTAGTGGATATTCAATTTGGTACAATACCTTTAGGAGCTCATAAAAGGTCAGATTTGAATAATACAATTCAGTGAAGTTCAGGAGATATGGATAATGCCGCTTTGCCACCATCATATGCGGTGCCATTGTATTCAATTGGTAGGGACGGACCCAATGGAAAATGGTATGTGGATGTTGATTTTGTTGAGCATGCTTTAAGTGGAGTAGAAGGTGTACAATATAGCAAGTGACTTTCTTTAAAAGCATTTAGATTTGATTATACTTTTGGGTGTGTTATAACCCATTTTGATTAATTTAAAACCATTATAATTTTTTGGAAATTTGAGGTAATTTTGTTGAGTAGTGCTTGGATTCATTGGAAGAGGTGGAGTATTGTGTTTTGTTGGAAAAATTATTTTTTTGATTATTGTTGAAGAAGTCAGTTCATTCCTTGGTAGAATTCGTGTCAAGGTGGAGATTGTTAGAATTTGAATGTGACTTGAATTCCTTGCTGAAGTAATTGAAGAATTCTAATTGAAGTGCGCATCAAGAAGAATTCAGTTTGGAATACTATTGGAGTCCTATATCAAGTTGAAGTTTTATTTTGAAGCCCATTGAGAGTTTTAATTTGTTTTAGACTCGAGTTATTGGTATCTTACTTAATTAAGAACTCTAATAGGAGGGTTTTGACATCCCCAACATGTTCCCTATAAATACTGACTCTTCTATACAATTTTATGGTGTGAGAAAATAGATTACTAGAATTATATGATCTATTGTAATTTTTCTCTTTTGTTCATTATTTTTGAGTCAATAAAATCTTTTAATTCATTTGTCATATTCTTGTCCTTGTTATTTTTTTGCTTGATTATATACTTCATTATTATTTGCCATATAATTTCAACATTTCAATCTGATAGTTTGTTTCACAACAATTTTGAAATTAGCATGTGTAATATAATTTAATACGATAAAGTGGCCAAATGTATCATGTACAAATCATCTAAATCAAGTCATTATCAAGCAAGCTAATCAAACTGCCACTTTTGAAAATCTAATTGCATCTTTTATTTCTCTTCAATTTATAAGATTATGACATTTATCACATATATTTGTTTGCGCATGTGTGCATGTTAGTGCCTGTGTATATATGTAGTATAATAACAATTTTATAAGAAGGAAAAAAATACATAACTACTTACCTTTCAAGATACACTTTTAAATTTGACAAACTTGAGGATTTATTTAAAATTTCAGGTCATAAATAAAAATATAATAATAGTTTTATTAAATTTGTTCCTTAATTAAAGGCAGTTGAAATGGTAATATATTATATTTAACTACATCTTTATCAATTCCTAAAATAGAGGAATCGAATATATTCTATAATCAATTTACATATCTTCATTCAGTTACCAATTTCAGGATTTAAACACTTCCCATAGCTCCATAAAAGTGGAAACCCATTGAAACACTCAACTTGGAACCCACATCGCTGTACCACCATCGAATTCACCACCATCCTTGTCGAAAATCCAATTAACCAAAGTAGAAGATCATTGAGATCACTTCGAAAAGTAAAATTATTTGGCTCGAATTCATAGAATTTGAAGATTACTATAGTAAAAAATTGATCATCATCCTCAACTCGAATAGAAGAAATTTTATAGTTGAAGTCACAATGCAGTCATAAATAATTAAATTTCGAACCTCATTTAATGTTTATTGATTTACATAATTGTTTTTCCTAATTCATCAATGTTGAAAGTACAAATTTATCTTATGATGCAATTGTTGTGTTTATGTTAACTGTCATTAACAGTCAATTTTTTTTAACTTAATTGTGTTCGCAGTGCATTAGTTTGACATTTGATGTCATGATGTTTCAGATTCGAGGTATAAAATTAAAAGTGAAGAACATGGTAGAACATTTTCTTATGTATCAGTTACAAGAGAAGAATAGTTTAAAAATGAATTTGATGTATTTTGAAATTGAGCTTGTTATATATAAATCACAAAGACACAATTTCTTGTAGACTAAAATTTTAGGTTTTTGTTAAAGGATTGTGACCACGTTACTAATGTTGTTGTATTTATGACATATTGGATGTGTTTTCTACACTGATTGTGACTAGACAATGATTGTTGTATTCAGGTTTGTGTTTATTGTTACTATTTTTGACCAAGTGTATGTTAACCGTAACTGTCTATGATCAGGTCTATGTTAATTATGATTGTTTGTGACAAATCACATGTTATGATGAATATATATATCATGAGTTTTTAACAGGAGTCTGTTTGTGACCATATCATAAATTTTTAACATGAGTCTATATTTCATAACATTCCTACATGAATATGACATTTTAGATGTGTTTTCTGTGCTATTTGTAACGTGACTTGTGACATTAACATTTTTTACGCATGTTGCCGTTATCTTGTACAACATTTACTTGTTATGTCAAATAATTTATTTGCATATGATCAATTTTGTTTGTGACATGTGAGATATATATTTATGCGTATGTAACCTATATATTTATGTGTTTGTGGCCTATTACCGATGTAGAATGTGACCGTGACATATATATTTACATGTATGTAATCTATATATTTATTGTGATTATGACCTATTACTAATGCAGAATGTGACATGTTACATGTGACCAATCAAATATGACCTAAGAATAGTGATCAAGAACATAAAACTAGATATATTCTAGTTGTAACATGGCATCAATGTAGTGAGACATGTTGTGCGTGACATGTGAGAGTGAATAATTATATGTAAACTGTGACATGTGTCATAGGTGTTGAGAATTACAAACCCTAATTCTTCCCACCAAGAGCAATCAATTTGAAGAAAGAAAATAAACAATCAAGAACACACAAAATTTATAAAAGTTTTCTTCAATGTGAGACCACGTTCTCTCCCTTTGCTGCAATAATTCACCATAATGAAAGAAGGTGTACAAGAGAAAATATAAATAATATCTCCTCTAACCTCTCTTTTGCTCTAGTTTATAAGATAAACTACGGCAAAACCAAATTTTATAAGAAGTCATATCCCTTCATAAATTTTTATAAGAATGTAAATTCTTAAATAGTGGGACGGGGCCGCCTGCCCCCTACCAAGCAGCACGACGATCTCATTGCGGAGGTCTATCCGCGACTAGATCCGCTAAGTAATAATAATTTGAGCTCATCAATAATTAGACTCCGCAACTAAACACTGAGAACAATGATATAGGAACTGTAACAAGATATATATATCTAGTTATCTAGTTGTCATCAATGCAGAATGCGAATTGTGACCTGTAACATATGATTGTGACCTGGGACCTGGGAGTAGTGATTTGGAAACTATACCAAATATATATCGAGTTCTGACATGTCGTCAATGCAGAATGTGACCTATGACATGCGACATGTAACATGTGACCTGTGACTTGTGTCTTATGTAGTAATTAGGAAAGTGTAACCAATGACCTGTGATCAAGTACACGTGACCATATATATATATCTAATTGTGGCCCACGTGATCTGTGAAATGCAACATATGAAAAGTGACCAACTTACATGTGACATGTGAGCTTTGTTCAATGACATTTGATAGAAAACATTTTCCATCAACATGAAGAAAGGAAATGGCCTGCTTAAATAATAGAAACAAATCTCATATGACCTGCTTAAATGACAAGAGCATCACACGTCCAAAATTTCACCTACAACATGAACAAAGTAAATAAATTTTATTAATCAAAACAAAAGAAATCCATATTCATACACATGGAATATTTCGCCTACGAAGTACATTAACTATTTATTTGTCAAGCTAATAAATTTTGGAAAAAAGAAAAAAAATGAATACATCAATCATTCAATTTCCTTCTTTTCCTTCGTTCGTGGCTTGCCCGATCTTCCAATGTTTAAATAGCAAGGACGCTATATCCATCCTAGCTCTACTAATATCAAATGACATCACCATGTTTGCAATGTCAATGTGGAATAAGTATTACGTGTACTTCATGACCGAAGAAAGTTACATAGGAATGAAAATAACATTAATCCTATGTTTGTAATTGGCAAATTGAGTCACAAACTTACCCATTTTGCTAATGAGTAATGTCACTAACAACGTTTGTCTTCTACTCTATTAGATCATCATAACGATAAAGTCACAATTCTGAATCAACACAAATATCACACACTTGAGTCATTAAGAAAACTATGTGAGCTTATTACAGATCTTAAAAGATAAAAGACAGGGATAAGGATGTGATGAATATGAAATTGACATTCTAAATTATGTACATTCATTTGTTTAGTCAAACATCTTCATTAAAAAGATTCTTTTCCATTTTCCTCTTTAAACCACAAATCCAACAAGAGGAAAACTTGTGATTCTCACATATCATCTCTCATCTGTGTTGGGTACTTCTACCTTGATGGGAGATCCAGAAGTCAACCCTATAGTTAGGCCCCGTTCGGGAGGGCTTAAAATCCAATTAAAATTGAAAATTTGGCCGTTATTGGGTCCCATCCGTCTAATAAATGGGCTTAAAATCCAATTAAAATTGAAAATATGGCCGTTATTGGGTCCCATCCGTCTAATAAAAGTCAACAATAACGGCTATATTTTCAATTTTAATCTGATTTTAATCCCTCCCAAACAAGCTCTTAGTATGTAATGAATCAATCTATTTAAAGAAGATGCAAACAACATATCTGTAACTGAACGAAAGCGTAGTGAATATAGAAGAAGAAGCTACAATTTTTCATAAGTCAAACAGAATGAACTTAATTTTACCAACAACGAATCTCAATTTCAATAGAAAATAAACAGTCAAATACTCACCAATTGCCAGCACACCACCAACCAAAATTCTAAAAACCAACAAAACCATCAATCGCATAAACTCCAAATCAAGATAATTACAAAATGAGAATAATACCTATTTCAAAATCAAAATAATCAGGTTGCAAATATACCACATTGAAAGAAGAACCTAAATTAAAATAGTTCGCTACAATATAATCACAAAATCAGGTCACAAAAATTAAATATATTCAAAATATATCTTACCCATCAACCGTGACTCCCGTAAAATTGGTTTAAAACCAACAAAATCAACATTGAATTGAATTACCTTTTTCCAGAACTTCTTGATTTTTTGGATGGGAATTCTTCTTAGTGGATTTTGGGTCTTTTTCTATTATATCTTGCCTTTTACCTGCCTTGTCTTCCTTCTTCGACCGATCAATACTCCTTATTCGGACCATATTGATAAGGATTTGTGTGTCCATAGACTCATATATTAGGGGGAAATAGATAGTGGACTATATAAGCGAGATAATCACATTTAGGAAGGGAGATTATCGGCGACGACGTGGGTATGATTTCAGTCTACTTTGGCGAATGTGATTGAGGTGATCATAGTTACGATTGAAGAGGGAATCGTAGATGAAGAGAGACGTTTTAGTTTATTCTTTTCTCGGTTCCAAAGACATATAGAATGAAGATTAATTGTTCTACATAAATTCATCTTATATGTTATTGATATTATCATTCACATTTAAAGTTATCCAAATTTGGATTTCGATCCAAAACTCTTGATATGGGGATTCACAAATAAGTCAAAGAATATGAAAATAACCATCACATTATCAGAATTTGGAAAGTTAATATTTAAGATCTGAAATTGAATTTGAATCATGTTGAAAGAGGCGGAGGTGGCACTGAATCTAGATAGTTCAATATTAGTGATGGGTTCAAATGGTGGCAGATGGGTAAGATGGCATTGGCTATAGTGCATGGTGGTGAAGTAGATCTGGTTTGAGTTTGGAATAGGGATGGCAAAAATACCCTACAAACCCGATACCCATGGGCGCCGCCCGAACGGGGCGGGGATAACCCGCTTAATCGAGAACGGGGTGGGGGAATTTTGCCCTGGGGCTGACGGGTAACGAGGGCTTGCCCCGTTAAATTTTTTTTTAAAATTTTTAGAATTCAATACTTTAAATGAAAATTTTCATTCGTCCTAATAGAAAATAACAACTAAAATTATTTGTCTAAATCTAATGAATATGAGCAATAAAAATAAATTATCAAAAACTAAAGAAAAAAAAAATTTTGAACGGGGAATAAATTGGGAAAGGACCCCGCCCCTTCTTAAACGGGTAATGGGGTGGAAATCTCTTAGTAGGACAGGGGGCGGAGCCATCCTTAGTTTGGAAGAGGGTAGTGGTAGTCGATAGTACAGATTGTGAGCGATGGTAGCGGTAACACAAGTAATGGTGAATATGGTAAGCATGGATGTTGGTGGTGGTGCATTGGTTAATAAATAACAACACGTGAAAATTGCACACACTGTAACAATAGTGCATGTAATTATCTTGTCTTGATGAGGATGAATGTTGGTGGTTTTGGATTGGCGGTGACTATTGGTGGCACATGGGAGGTAGTAACATCGATGGTGGTATGTGGCGGGTGGAGCTAATGCCTAAGTTAATAATTTGCAA